ATTCTCAGGCCTATGGGTGCTGTGGTTCAGTAGCTCTTAGGGGATGGGGAGACCCAGAGACCACCACCATCATGGCTACTATGGCAACAACATGACTCAAATCAGTTAGAGTTTGGGTCATACGCAGTTTGAAATCCAGCTTGTACTTGTTTTCTTGTGAATGGCTTGACAATGTGCAGAGATATCTTCAACATGTGTAGGTGACTGTTGTTTTGAAAGGCAGTTAAGAGCCTCTTCATTAACTCTTTTTTTTTTTTAATCCTCACTCAAGGATATTTTTCCATTTTTGTTCAGATAGAGTGGGAGGGAGAGAGAGAGGAAGAGAGACAAAGGTAGAGAGAGAGAGAGAGAGAGAGAGAGAGAGAGAGAGAGAGAGAAAGAGAGAGAGAGAGAAACATCAACGTGAGAGGGACACATTGTGTGGTTGCCTTTCGCACGACCCAATCAGGGTGGGGGATGAATCGCAACCAAGGCACATGCCCTTGACCAGAATCAAACCTGGGACTCATTGGTCCACGGGCAGATGCTCTAACCGCTGAGCAAAACGACCAGGGCTCTTCATGAACTCTTTATTTACTCATTAGTTTTCATATCAGTTCACCATTTACACTAGAAAAGGTGCTGCAAGCTATCTCAGCCAGCTTCTAATTGGGACATGGCACCAAAAGTACACATACAATCGAAAGACCATATCTTCCTGGGTCTTCCACTGGATAGGCTCAGTATGATGCTTTGGACTGAATAAGTGTGATCTTATTAGGAAAAAGCATGTAAACATAGGGCCAGATTTTGTTAGTCTTCGTTTCAGAAAACGTGTGGAGCACTCTTTGGCTCTTGTATAGTTCAATGACTGGCTTTGCCACATACTTGTACTGTCTTAGCTTGGCAGCGACTGCCTCAGGTTTATCATCCTGCTGGACCAATGGTTTACTAGTGACGTCATCAATCCCATTGACCAGTTCTTGGAGCATGAAGTGATTCAACATTGTTGCCTAGCGCTCAACTCTTAGAAAGGAATTTCAGAAGGACAAAAGCAATAACTATCTGTATTAATAGCCTAGGAAGGGAGAAAACAAATATAAAACAACAACAACAACAAAAAGTCTAATAAAAATAGCAGAAGCTGAATTCTTTTATTCTAGAATGTCTGAAAAGAGATTATATAAAGCATGGATACCTAAAAGAAGGTGTCATTCCTGAGAGAAAAAATGAATTGTAGACACATGGAATGAATGGACCTATTGATGGAAGCTGTTTGAATGAAAGGTAATTGAGTGGACTAGTAAGTAGATGGAGGGGCGGTGGATATGGAAATGATAAAGTATGTTGATTTTTATTAAAGAATAGGTGCATGTGAAGATAAATAGGTAGATAATAGGTATATGGAAGAAATACTGGATAAGTAGAAGAAAGATGAGTGAGGTGGATTGAAGTCCAGGTTATATACCCGCCGGCTAAAATGGTGGCTGAGACTACCTTCGAGGGTTTCAAATCAAATGTTCAAAGATCCAGGTCACATCAGTAGATGAATGGATAAGAAAGCTGTGGTACATATACACAATGGAGTACTATGCAGCTGAAAGAAAGAAAGATCTCTTATCCTTTGAGACGACATGGAGGGACCTGGAAAGTATCATCCTAAGTGAAACAAGCCAAACAGAGAAAGACAAGTATCATATGATCTCACTTATTTGTGGAATATAATAAACATAACAGTCTGAGGAATGGGGTAGTCCCAGAGATGTGGAAGTGGGGTCCAGACTGACAATCCCCAGAAGAGGGGATGGTGGGGGAGAGATAAACCACAGAACTTATATGTATGTGTGCATGAACAATGGACATGGACAACAAAGCCGGGGACAGGGCAGGGAGGGGGGAATCAGTGGGGGGGGGGGGGAACATCTGTAACAAAAATAAATTAATTTTAAAAAAAAAGTACACAGTGGAAAAAAATAAATAAATTCAATGGCAAAAAAAAAAAAAAAAATAGTAGTTAGAATCCCAGATCAGCCAATAAGACGCCTATTAACCCTAAAAAAAAAACAGATCCAGGTCACAGATTCTGTCCAGGGCTTCAGCCTGAACTCATGTCCCAGGAAAAACCACCTAGTAGCTAGTGCTGATCACACCTCTTCTCCGGCTCTGACATCATTAGGTGTGTGATCACATGATGTGGAACCCAAAGTCCTTTCTCTATGCCAGCGGCTCTCAACTTTTCACAGGGGTTGCCTAATTTCGCTATAACAGTAGCAAAATTATAGTTATGAAGTAGCAACGAAAAGAATTTTATGGTTGGGGGTCACAACACGAGGAACTGTACTAAAGGATCGTGGCATTAGGAAGGTTGAGAACCACTGCTCTATGCACTAGTCTGACATTTTTGCCAACTTCTGTGTTGGTCTTGATGGCCTTGATGTTCTCCTGCAAAAAGTGGCCACTGGAGAGATGCTGGAGGCCAAAGTTATGGGCGATCTTCTGGCACATGGTGCCCTTGCCAGAGCTGGGAAGCCCACGGATAACCACATGCAGGAGTCAGGAAGCCATCGCCTTTGCGAGAAATGGGGATGCCAATCAGGCAACCCAGACAGCATCCTCCAAGAAGCCCTTGAAACTTGGTTTCTTCTGCCCCTGCCTCTAACACCCTCTGCTGTCCCTCACACAGAGGCTCCAAAACTCAAAATTTCTTGTTGTTCTATCCCTTTCTGTTCTGCCTAATTTCTAGCCCTATCCAAGGATCTCGCTTTCCAAGCAGATGAGATAAAACTTTGTTTTTGGAGTCTGGGATAAATGACATTTTTGACCCCTTCCCTCACCTAATTTCTTGGAGAGGTTGGGTAAGGATCGACCTGGGTCTTTGTTTCTCCTTCTCTTATCACCTCTCATTGATTGTCATGGTGCCTCACCTCTGCCCCAGCCACACTTCTGTTCTAAGACCATTGCTGGGTTCAGAATGAGGGACTCCAAAGAGCACCAAAGTAGATGCCCTTTACCTGGACATTCCTGTTTTTTCATTAGACCAAGCCCTGTCTTGGTCTGACTTCCTGTCACTGGCTTTCTGTGTTGTTCCCTGTACATCTAACTCTATTACCGATTTTTGCGTTTGTTTCCACAGATAAACTCTGAGCTCCACTGAACATCGTTATATCTAGAACCTGGTGCTTAGAACATAAATAGGCCCAGATAAAACACAGTACACTCTTCTGGATGAGCAAGGTAGGTGGGAGATTGGTAGGTGGATATGTGGCTCATAGTGTGATGATTAGGAAGATGGCTGGATGAGTAGGAAGAAGGATGGGTGAGGGTAACATAGAATTTGGGTGCATGAGTACATCGCTAAGGATGGATGAATGAATGGCTGGATAAAGAGGATTGGGTTGATCATAAGGATGGTTAGGTTAAGATAAGGTGAATGGATCTATTGGTGGAAGCTGTTTGAATGGAAGGTAGATGAGTATATTGGTAGGTAGATGAAGTGGAGGAGGGTATAGAAATGATGGAGAAGTATGTTTATGGGTATTAAAGAATATGTGCATGTGAAAGAAAAATGAGTAGATAATAGGTATATGGAAGAAACACTAGATTTAAAATGGGCAGCTGGATAGGTAGAAGGAAGATGAGTGAAATAGGTAAGTGGATGGATATATGAGTAAAATGATGGGTGGGAAGATAGATGAGTCAAAAGGTATGTCAATTAGAGGGCTAGAAAAGCAGGTGGATGGGGAGTAAATGGATTGAATGGTAGGTGCATAGGTGGGGGATGGAAATGTGAATGTATGAATGAAAACATTAACCAAAGTTAAGAAAATGAAAATAATTATATAGAGGATAATTTATACTACTCTAAAATATTACATTTGAAAATAGAAAATGGATTCATTTTAGCAAACATAAAAGACCAAATTTACAGAAGGAGAAGTAACTATACAGACTATGAGATGAAGTACAAAAAAACTGGTGAAAAGATACCATTATAGAAGGAACCTTACTTAGATGCTTTTGGAGTTTTATCTACTCATCAAAGAACAGAGAATTGATATATTATTTAAAATATTACAGATCATAGGAAACATAGGTAAGTTTTACAACTAGTTTCCCATGTTAGTTTTTTTAAAGTAATATGACTCAAATAGCAGAACAAAAGCCATAAACTTATTTTTCTTTTGACTATAGGTGTGAAAATTCCCAATAAACTATTTGCTAAAAGAACCAACAGTGTATTAGTACAAGTATATCCTCAATATGAGTAAGATAATTCCAGGAATGTAAAGATGATTCAACATAAACATTTAGTAATACAATTATTATACTAACAAACCATAAGAGAAAAATTATTATGACTAAATGCCTAAAAGGTATTCGCTAAAATCCAGCAGTAATTTCTAATAGCAGCTGTAAATGGATAAAAAGGAAATACCCTACATGTGATAAAACTCGTTTATCCTAAACCCAACAACAAATGTATCTTATATAGCAGAAGACATTGACTTTAAAATTTAAAAAAACTACATAGGAATAGATGCCATTGACTTTATTTTCAACATTATTTCGCAGGTTCTACATAATATAAGACAAAAAAACAAAGTAAGTCATAAAGTTGGAAAGAAGTAAGAGTCAAATTTATCATCAGTTTCAGATGATATAATTATATATAAAAATCACAATAACCTCATTAAATATAGTTACACGTAATAAGACAATTTGACAAAGTAGTTGGATACAGGACAAAATTGATGGCTTTTTATCATGCTACTCACAATGAATTATTTTGATGAAAATATTTTTTACTTGCCTTGACCGGGTGGTTCAGTTGGTTAGAGCATTGTCCCAATATACCAAGATTGTAGGTTTGATCCTGGGGTCAGGGCACGTACAAGAATCCACCAATGAACGCTTAATTAACTGGAACAACAAATTGATATTTCTCTCTCTCTCTTCCTCTCTCTCTCTCTCTAAAAATCAATCAATAAATGTTTTAAAAGAAAATATTTTTGACTTACTATCTATTCAGGTTCCAGACATTTCAGTCCACAACGTGAGCAGCACTTCTCTCCCAGTTGGCAGTCCTCATCTTTCTGGCAAATGGGTTTATCGATGATTAAGCATACTGAGGGCTTTCGTGGGCAGAAACCTGTTTTGACTTTATGGGATAAAACAAAAGACTTGACCTTGAAATGCTCGATCATTGTTTGAGATCAATTTGGGGAATCTTGGGAACCCTAAACGGAGTTTTCTTCTGATTAAGCCTCTTATCTTCCCCCCTCGGGTAACAATAGAGTGAAGGATGTAGAGTATCAATGTTCTACAGCTAATAATTTGAGGAGCATCAAAACATCTTGCCATCTCTGACTTATAAAATCTGATAGTATTCCTACATGTCCCTACAGAATCCATGGATTTGGGTTATCTAAATCTATCCAGAGTACCAGAGGTGAAAGAAGTATTATGTAATATCTAGAACTTCCTTGTTATGTATTATCTAGAACTTCCTTGTTTTAAAATCTGTGGAAATTAAGGACCATATAAGAGGAAGTGAGTTGCCTAAGGCCACACAGAAAACCAGAAAAGTTGAAGTCAGTTGAAAAGCCTTGACTCCTTCCATCATACCATGCTGTACCCCAAAACACTGACAATCCCTGGAACAAGACAATACTATCTGAGCACTGTAGCAGGAAATGAACACTAGCTTTAGTGGCTGGGGAGTTCACTTCTACCCCAAAAGCATTTTGCTAGCAATCTTGTCCCCAGCACATCTTATAGGATGTGAACATGCTGTGCATGCTCTGAAGTTCTCTGCAGACATAAGGGCTTATTAGGATTATACTCAATGGTTATGTTATGTTTTGTTTTGTTTTGTTTTGTTTTGTTTTGTTTTGTTTTGTTTTGTTTTTTAATGAATAAGTGCATCCTGTCACCTTGTAGGCACCTTCAATTTCATTGAAGAATGAAATTCAGAATAAGCGAGTTTTCATGGAGGGAAATGGGGAGTGATACTATGCATGACTGGCTTTGAAGAATAGGATAATAATAGTCTCCTGAGATCAGAGGGCAACACAAGAGCATTGGTTGGACATTGAAGGGGAAAGGTTCCCAAGAGACCTCTAAGGTCAACCTAAGACACAGCATGGCATCCTCAGCCCCATAAACTCTGGGAAGCATATCCCCATTCTCACCTATCCAGACAGTGGAACAAACAAAGCCACATATGGATTCACAACATTTTTCAGTGTCAGGACAATCATAGTCACTCTTACACGAAGCTGAACATTCCACACGGGCCTTGGAAGGGAAGAACGGGCACTGTCCTGTCTTGACTAAAACAAGAGCAGATATGAGCTTCTTCAAACCCCACTCCATCCCCTGACCATTCAAGCAGCCTTTCTTTCCCTTCAAAACTAAGATCTCGCCCTGGCCGGTTTGGCTCAGCGGTTAGAGCGTCGGCCTGCGGTCCGGAGAGACCCGGGTTCGGTTCCCGCTAAGGGCATGTACCTCGGTTGCAGTTTGTCCCCGGCCCTGGTTGGTCGTGCGGGTGGCAGCCACTCGATGTGTCCCTTTCACATCGATGTTTCTCTCTCTCTCGCTCTCTCCCTCCTGCTCTATCTGAACAAAGAATGAAAAAGTGTCCTCGGATGAGGATAAAAAAAAATAATAATAATAAAAAAAACAAAAACAAAAACAAAAAACTAAGATCTCTGTGACTTGGTTCATTCTTCCCACCTCTAGTGGGCTGTGGAAGAATGAAATGCCTCACATTTTATGGGATTTGAAGAATAGGATAGAAAAAGAATAGTAGTAGAAAAAGAGTTAAGATTGGTGTTTGAAGCCCCAAGGTAAACTCCTAGTCCTGCCACTTAATGAATGACTTCAGTTTCCTGCTCTATAAAATAGGAGTAATTATGTGAAATCTGCACAAGGCAATGTAAGCCATTTTAGGGGATTTGGTTTTACTTTGAATGAGGAATGACAGGATCTGACTCACCTTTTGAAAGGATCATTGTGGCTACTATGTTGATAATATGGTGTAAAAAGGGAAAGATAGAAGCATGGTGACCTGTGAGGAGGGTGTAGCCATAATCCAGGTGAGAAGATGGCACCTCGTATCAGGATGGCCGCTGCGGAGGTGGGAAGAAGCAGTCAGATTCTGGATCTGTTATCATTGCTTAATTGATGTTGATTGAGAAAGAGAGGTATCAAGGGTAATGTAGGAGTTTGGTTGGGTTTTGTTTGTTTGTTTCCACCAAGATGGGGAGATCTATGGATATAGCAGGTTTGAGATGGGAGAGCTAAGATAAGGCATTCAGTTTTAGAAAAGTTAAATATGAGGCATTTGTGAGATCCAGATGAAGGTGTAGAGTAAGTGGCTGGAGCTTGGGAGGCAGACTTGGGCTGGAGATACACCTTTGTGGGTCACTAGCACATAAATGACATTTAAATAAATTCTTCAGGATTTTGCACACATCTCCTGTTGTCTTCATCTTCTTCTTCCTCGGGTTAGACTCAGACTGTAATATGTTTGGCTTTCCGAGCTATTGTCAAATTCTCTGTAAGCCCCAAACCTAAGATTCCCACAAACCAGCCCAAGCCCATTTCCCTGGTCTCTTCTTTCTGCTGGCTCCTGAGAGAGGGCCAACGTCTTATCTATAGTGACATGATCCCTTACAGCCTCCCAAGGGAAGCTTGTGATCCTGATTTCATCAGGTTGACCACAGGATTGCCCTGGCCATTCAGGCTCATGGAATTATAATTCCAGTTCTTCCCTGACCCACTGTGAATCCTTGGCCAACAAACTTGACCTCTCTAACTTTGTTTCCTCATCTATAAAATGGTGGAGATGAGACACTTTCAACCTGCCCCACAGAATCCAAGGTCAAAATGCCAATACTGCCTTGTAAACCACACAGTGCTGCCTTTGATCAGTGGTCCCCATCTCAATTGTTACCATCCACTGAGCCCACACCACTGACCAGCTGCCATGTCAAATCTTCATGTCCTTGATCACATATAATCCCACCAACAACTCAATAAAGGTCTTTGCTATTATTCCAGTATTACAGGGAAGAAACTCAAAACTCAAAGAGGTGAAGAAATCTGTAGTAAGTAGGATTTTAATCCAGGTCATATGGCTTCTAATCTCTTTAGGACCCTGTCTTCCCACATCACTGGAGATGGTCATTACAATAAGGAATGAATCCAGAACCCTCACCTTCATCCCACCTACCCCTCACCTACTCCATGCTCTACCCCTACATCATGGCATTCCAGAGCTGAGCTGTCTATAATTCAATCTTGAGTGAGTCCTCAGGGGTTATACTCAACAGGTCAATGTGATGAAGAAACACCTACTTCCAAGGGGTACACATGGCTCTCAGGTCCCATTGGCCAAAGTTTATTAACACTTTATGTGCACTATCTCATTTTATAGCACAACTCCACTAGATAAATACTATTATTATCCCCATTTTATAGACAAGAAAACTGAAATGCAAAATGGCAGGCAACTGATCCAAGATTACCCAGCCAGTGAATGACAGAGCGAAGACTTGAAGGAAGCCTGAGCCTATAACAGTGCAGGTATTCTGTTTCTAGTTAGACTAGGCCTTCAGATTGTCAATATAGGAGTCTTACCAGTTGACAAGCAAGCCTCCAAGCAGTCTTTCTTGCTGAGGAAGTTGTTGTTATTTCCACCACAGCCTCCATAGCGAAAGGGTTTGCATAATTTATTTTTAAAGTCATAATACCATTGTTTAGTAAAACGCACACAATTTCCTGGATCAGAGGGTAGGATGCAGGGTTCTGAGGGAAAGAAGCAAAGAGGGAAGAACGTAAAAGGTAGCAAAAGAGGGAAGGGATCAGGTCCTCAGCCTTTGTTCATGGTGTTACCATTCAAGTCATAGAAAGAGCCATGGTCAATAAACGTTCTAGTCCTAGCTCTACTATGAATTCTCTGTAGTGAATAGCATTTCCGAGCATCATTTCTATCTTGCAAAGGATATTGTGAAGAATACATGAGAGCCCTGGCCAGTTTTGCTCAGCGGTTAGGGCATCCGCCCACAGACTGGAGAGTCCTGGGTTCGGTTCCTGCTAAGGGTTGCAGTTTGTCCTCAGCCCCGGTTGGAGTCATGTGGGTGGCAGCCACTCAATGTGTCTCTCTCATGTCAATGTTTTTCTCTCTTTCTTCCTCCCTCTCTTCTTCCTGCTCTATTTGAAGACATATGCAAAAATGTCCTCGAGTGAGGATAAAAAAAAAAAAGAATACATGAGAATACTTTGGAGCTGATCTTTCCACTGTTCTGAGTTTTGGGAGGGCAGGACTTGTCCAAAGTGCTTAAGACAGTGCCACATAGGAGCAATAAAATACTGAGGTGGGGGGGGGACCAGGCCCTCATGACTGGAAACTTCTCTGATGCTCAGCTAGGTCATGTTGTTTTTTTGTTGGACATGAACAAATTCACAGGACATCGACATCAAACAAGGTCACTCTGAGACCAGAATAAAGTGACATCTCCCCCCAAAAAATCATTGTGGAAGCCACAATATACCTAACACCTATAAGTGATTTCTGCTTCTCTACCAATTATAACTCTATCCTCATTCAAGCCTTCCCTCTCTACGGCTGAGATTCACTGAGGTACTCATAGAATTGCCCCCACTTTCTGATAGTATCCAATTTAGAGCAAACCCCCACTTCCTTAGACCATCCCTGAAATTACCCTCTCAAAGCCTCAATCCCATAGTAGATTCTAACAGCTCCTAACCCTAAGATGCCTCAGGGTGTCTATGTAATAAACCCAACTTGTTCAGTTACAGGTGTGTTCCTGGTAGTCTTTGGCCAAAGGGCACTGACAATAGGTATTTGTCGAATGGAGCATAGAAAATGCACAGCTCCCTATTATTAGATGCTCAACACCAGAAAACTTCCTCGGAAGCCAGAGAGTCCAATAACAACCTCACTCTCTAAGCTGATTGAGGTTTCTATTTGCCACTGTGCGAACAGTCTTTTGACACACAGTGAGCATGCACTTGAAAACTGGGAGTCTAATTAGAGAAGGAGCAAAGCACAAACCCTGGCCTCTTTGTCCTGCCATCCCAGGGAACTGTCCAGCCAGCTCTGGACCAAGCAGGACGTAGGGCGCCTCTAACAACACTTCTGCCCTCAGCCTGGAAGCCACTACCTTCATAGGGATCCATGCACTTCTTCCCACAGGCAAACAAGCAGCACTTCAGGTAATCTTTACAGGAGAAATCTTCTTTGCACAAGTCTGGAACTCTAACGGTACAAGTGACCCTCTCCTTTGGGCACGCTCCCGGTTTCTCTGCAAGAAAGACATGTCTGAACGCATATCCACCGAGAGGTTCAGCTCTTCTCCCATGGCAAAGGTGACTAGTGAAACTCTTTCCGTCCTGCCCTCTGCCTTTAATCTTCAGTTCTTGCTCTGCTTGTATCTGGGGACTGGGTCTGCCTCTTACCACTCTCAGCTCATTTCGCTCATTTAGATCGATCTGAATCAGAAATGTGTGCTCAGGTAGAACTAACAGGGAAGCTTCTTGGATTCCAGGACTGGGGGTTCAATAGGGACCAAGATCCTTGCCTTCGATTCAGGAGCTCCTTTCTGCTCTAGAAACTTCATATTTTAATGCCTAATTTCTGTCTCTAGTATTTTAGTTGACGTGGAAAGCCGATTGGTGAGGAGGAGTAGAAATGAGGTGGAAATAAGAGTCAGGAGGCCTGATTTTGTCCCCTAACTCCCTGTGAGCTCAAGACCAACCTGAATTCTACTATATGATTTCACAGTTACCTCTAAGTGGGGAGGAAATGTTGGAGTGGAAGAAACACTTTATTATTTCTTTCTTTATTGATTTTAGAGAGAGAGAGGAAGAGAGAGATAGAAACATCAAAGAGAGAGAACATCAATTGGCTGCCTCCTGCATGCCCCCCACTGGGGATTTGGCCCACAACCTGGGCGTGTGCCTTGACTGGGAATCGAACCAGCAACCTCTTGGTGTGTGCATGGATCGATGCTCAATCACCGAGCCACACCAGCCAGATGGAAGAAGCACTTTAAATAAGATAGATCTGGCTTGGGGGCTTGACTCCAACACCGCCAGCTAAAACATCTTGGAGACAATATCTTCCTTTGTCTGCGTCATAATTTCCCCGTCTGTAAAATGAGGATTATAATCTCTACCTTATAGACTACTTAGAAGAATGAAGTGGGATGGTGCCTATAATGCATTTACCACAGTGCCTGGCACATGCTAAGCTCTTGGCAGATACGAATTTGTTCCCTTTCTTTTTTAGGGCTAGACATGGCTTCCTTTGTTCAGTGCTTGTAGGAGGCAGAATTCTAACGTTGCACCCCCAAGATTCCCATCCTCTAGTTATTGAATCAAACACTCATTTCAATACTGCTGTGAAGGGATTCTGTAGAGGGAATTAAAATCTCAAGTCAGTTGACCTTAAGACACTGGGATTATTTAAGTGGGCTTGATACAATCTGTTGAGTCCTTAAAAAGAAGAGGTGTTTTGTTTTTTTTTCCTAATTAGTAGAGAAGAAGAGCTAAGAGAGATTCAAACTATAACAAGAATCCATTATGCTGTTAGTAGCTTCGAAGATGGAGGAGACCAAGTGCCAAGGAACGAGGGTGACCTCTAGACGTTGACAGCCGGTAGGGAAACCTCAGTTCTGCAACCGCAAGAAGATGATTCTGCTGACACCCGGTGAGCTTGAATGAGATTCCTGAGTCCCAGGGGAGAACCGCAGCCTTGGATGACACCTTGATTTCAGCCTGGTCAGTCCTGAGCGGAGCTCACTGGTTACGCAGCAACAGTGATTAACGTGGCTTCATGGCTATAAACTGAGCATCTTCCCGGGGGTGGGGGGTGGGGGCTGACCAGAGAGGCATGATCCTTTTAGATAATACCGAGTCTTGGAACTATAGAAGTTTAGAATTACAAACACCATAATACTCATTACTATCAACCTCCTAATTTCATAGGTTTAAAAAACAATGAGGTCAGATAGGATAACACAGTGAATTAGGGATTTCTAATCCATGGCTCACTCCAGAAGCCCCACTTCTCCCTGAGGACTGGCCACTGAGACTTAAAAAATTTTCTAACTATATTTCTTATCTCTCATTTCACCCATAATGCACCCTCCAAGGATAGCCTGAAGCTAAGTAAAACCTATGGTTCCTAATCTGGAGTGTATAGCGAAATCATCTATGAATCAGCCCTGGCCGGTTTGGCTCAACGGTTAGAACGTCGACCCATGGACCAGAGTCCCAGGTTCGGTTCCCATTAGGGGCACGTACCTCGGTTGCGATTTGTCCCCAGCCCTGGTTAGGGTCATGTGGGTGACAACCAGTCGATGTGTCTCTCTTACATCGATGTTTCTCTCTCTCTCTTCCTCCCTCTCTCCCTCCTGCTCCATCTGAAGATAAATGCAAAAATGTCCTCGGGTGAGGATAAAAAATAATCACCTATGAATCATTTAGCAAATATAGATCATGGACTAAATCAGAATGTCTAGGAAGTGAGGCCTTAGGGAGTCAGGTTTTTTAAGATTCCTAGCTGGTCCTGAAGCAGCCAGCTGGGCACCGTGATGTAGGCCACTCCTCGGGAACCAGTGTTCCAGGTCTGGGCCCAGAGTTAAGCAAATCATATAGAAACACCTCCAAAGAGGCAAAGAGTTATAGAAACCTTGGCATTATAAAGACAACTTCTCCTTCACTAGTGCTGATTGCAGCCAATTCTGCCTGCTCCCCGTTTTGGGGGGCCATGTAAACCTTTGTTGGGGTTTCAGTCATGGTAGCGCCTTATCCCTCCTTCAGCTTGAACTATCACTGAGAATCCTCCTTCCTCCCTGTCAGCCCTTCTCGGCCACTTACCTTGTGTGCGTAGTCTCCTCTGTGATACACACCCCAGGGGTTCGTTTGCAGTTACTGGGGACGGTCCCCAGAGCTCTGGTCTCAGCCCTTTCTTGTCATTACCTGACACACCTTACCCAGGTGACCACATCCACTCCCATGACAATCCGACTGATTCCCTATCTCCCCCAGACCTATCTGCTCTTCCAGGCCAGGACACTTCTATCCAATCACCCACAGAGAACGGCATTTGAGCATCTAAGCACCTCTGTTGCAAGATGTTTGAAACGGAAGTGTCTCCCAGTGCCCAAACAGCACCTTCCGTCTGCTCCCATCTTGACATTTGGCATCAATAGTTGCCCTGGGCCCTGGCCGGTTTGGCTCAGCGGTTAGAGTGTCGGCCTGCGGTCCGGAGAGACCCGGGTTCCGTTCCCGCTAAGGGCACGTACCTCGGTTGCAGTTTGTCCCCTGCCCTGGTTGGGTCGTGTGGGTGGCAACCACTCGATGTGTTGCTTTCACGTCGATGCTTCTCTCTCTCTCTCTCCCTCTCACTCTATCTGAACATAATATCAAAAAATGTCCTCGGGTGAGGATAAAAAAAAAAAAAAAAAAAAAAAGTTGCCCTGGGATTCGCTTTTTCCTTTCTATCAGCCTAGCATCATATCAGTCACGAACTTCGGTCAATTCAGTCTCCTAAATCTCCAACTCCATCTCTTCTCCCACTTTTACCACAACTTCCTCAAGTCAGCATCTGACCTCCTCCAACCTTTCTCGTGCTCCAACAGCCTCCTCACTGGCCCTCTGCCCTCAGGCTCCTGTCTAGTGACTGATTCCTTTCTGAAAAATTAAATTTGGAAAAGACAGATATCGGGGAAAGTTAGGGAAATGATTTTCGGGCAGCAGGTGAGGGAAGGCTCTGAAGCCACTGTGGAAGTGGCTGTATCCGACACGAATCCTCGCCTCGCGCCCACCCTCAGTCCCCAAGAGTGTCTACTAAGGATGAGCGGCTGCAGCTTTTCTGAACCCACCTTGGACATTTTTGTGTAGCTCCGCAAATGTCTGTTCCAATGAGAGGGGGAGAAGCAGCAGGAGAGCCACGTTCCTCCTGGAGAAGCTGGAGCAGCGGCGAAGCAGGGGCCTGTGTGGGATGAGAAGAAGGGCGGGGCTTAGGCACAAGCCAGACACACAAAGCACATGCGGATGAACCTTAGTGATAACCCACCAATTCCCTTAGTTCGTAGTTGTGAAAACCGAGACGCAGAATGGGCATGGGGCTTGGTCACGTGGCAAGGAGGGCAGGACCTTCAGTCCCAGGACCCTCCCAATGGTTCCACACTCTTCCATGGTGCTGTGCGTGATGTACCCAGACACTGCCCGCCGTCTGGCTCTGGGTGAGAGGCCACGTGTGAATGATTACAGCGACTCATCCGGAACAGTCGCAAGGCTGGTTTGCCCACATTCACTCTTGAGACAATCCCAGGCACTGCTGAGCACCTTTCTTTGCACCACTCATAACATGAAACTTAGATTTTTCAGGAGAGCTGGGCATATGGCACTGGGTCTTAGTGCCCCAGGAGCAAAAAAGATCCCAGATGACCTTGTGGTGACAAGAGGATCCCTCTTATTACTTCTGGTGTTATCCAAGCCTAGGAGCTTATGATACTTCTTTTTAGCTTTTGAGTTCCCTAGTCAAAGACTGTCTTTATTATAATTCCAGTTCCCCCAAGATTACTCAGAAAGCCCTATAGTGCCTTAAATTCTTAATATCAAGCCACCCTTTGGGTTTAAAAATTTACCCTTTAACCTAGTAACATGTACTAAATCACTTACAATGATGGTGGGGAGATGTTCTCTATTTCTCAACTTTTCCTAGGACGTTGTTTCAAATGCAATGGGCTCCTTGATTCCTGAGCCTGGCTGGTCAGGAGTTTCTCCAGAAACCCACCATTGAACCTACCTCTTTCCCCATGTGGCAGAGGTTGCTCTTTGCAGTAAATCAAGGAGCATTTTGCAACCGAAAGATCTACAGCTGTCCGGGAGCTGGGGGAACAGTGTGAATTTCCAGGTTACAACCTTTGGAAACTACAGGTAAAGCCCCAGCATGACCCCCTACTGCTCCCTCACTGAGAACACACCTGCCTCAGGGTCCTGGTGTTTCCATGCATGAAGCTCCTTGTTCACATCTTCCTCATCCCAATGACATGCTGCTTGGCTACTCAACTACGAATGTGCCTTTAGCCTCAGTCACTGGGCAGGAGACCTTGAAGAGGACAATTAGCTCTGTAGATTTTTTAATACACCTTGCCTTAAGTTCTGGCAGAGTAAATAGCTGTCTCCTCCAAAGATATAACCTTCTAAATAGCTCCTACTCAGTGACCTACATTCTGATATTGAGGAAAGGCAGTCTCTAAGTGTAGAGTGCAGAGTGTGGTATATCTCTATTGTGTGTTGTTTAAATGTCTTAAATCTTTCTAATTTTTTTCTCTTTGACTTATCAATAATTGAGAAAAGTGTGTTGAGGGCTCTTCACACAGCCATGAATTTCTTGTTTATGCCAGTAGTTCCATTGATGTTTGTTTAATATATCCTGATTCTATTGATTTAAGTAAATATGAAAGAATTCCTGGTCAGTTGAATTTTTTATCATTGTATAGTGACCAAATATAACAAGCACTGGGGCAGCAAGCAACAAAGAAAGGAGGGTGAACCTTCTTACTGGAAGCACTTCTCTGTAAGATTGATAAAAAGCACAGAACTGAGGCTTTTTCTCTAGGAGGGAGGAGGAGAAGAAGTGAAAGAGGTCTGGTCTCCAGCTTTAGAGTGTGTACTCTGTAGAGTTGGTCTCTATCTGCTTTAGATCAAATATTACTGACCAGTGAATGTCTCTCTCAGTCAAAACTAGTTCATAAAGGCTGGGAGAGGCAGCTGTTTCTTCAAATGTGAAGACAAGAAAGCAAACTTACAGGAACACAAAGAATCAAGAAAACATAACACATTCAAAGAAAGAAAATAAATCTTCAGTAACGAACCCCCCAAAAATAGAGATCTGTGAATTGTCTAACAAAAAATTCAAAATAATTGTTTTTTTAAAGCTCAGTTATAAGAGAACACAGGTTGACAACCAAATGAAATTTTAAAAAATGATATATGAACAAAATTATAATATCAACAAAGAAATAGAAATGATTTTTAAAAATACTGCTGATGAAGAATATAATAAATGAACTAAAAAAGTCACTAGAGGAGATTCAAAACCAGACTTGGTCAAGCAGAAAAAAGATCAGCAGACTTAAAGACAGGTCATTTTAAATTATCTGATAAAAACTGAATTCAACAGCATATTCAAAGGATAATACAACATGTCTAGTGGAATTTATTCCTGGATGCAAGGATGAGTCAACATCTACAAATCAATCAATGCAATAGATCACATTAACAGAATAAAGGATAAAAATCATTTGACTATCTCAATAGATGCAGAAGAAGCACAGGCAATAAAAGCAAAAATAGACAGGTAGGATTTCAAAACAAAAAGCTTCTTCACAGCAAAGGAAACAATCAACAGAGTGAAAATGAAAAGACAACCTACAGAATGGGATAAAATATTTGTAAACTACATATGTGATTAGGTATTACTATCCAAAATATATAAGGAACTCAAACAGCTCAATAGCAAAAAAACAAATAACCCAATTAATAAATGGACCAAGCACTTAAATAGACATTTCTCAAAAGAAGACATACAAATGGCCAACAGGTACACAAAAAGGTACTCAATATCACTAATAACAGGGAAATGCAAATGAAAACCACAATGATATATAACTTCACTGTTAGAATGACTATTATCAAAAGCACAAGAAATAACATGTGTTGTGGTTTGTCCCCTGCCCCAGTAATTTTTCTCCAAAAATTAAAAATAGAAAGAACTAACATTTGATTCATCAATTCCACTTCTGGGTAAATATCCAAAAGAAATGAAAATCAGTATCTTGAAGAGATATCTGCATTCCCATTCATTGTAGCATTATTCACAATAGCCAAGGCATGAAAACAACCTAAGTTCTATCAGTGGATGAATGGCTAAAGAAAATGTAAGATATATATATATATATATATATATATACACACACACACACACACACACACACATATATATATATTATTCAGCCTTTAAAAATCTTGTCATTTGTTTAGACAACAATGCTGGGGATGGGGCGGGGAGATCGGGAGGAGGGTGTCAATGGAAGGAAAAGGAGAAACATCTGTAACAAAAATAAATTTATAAAAAAATTAAAAATAAAAATATAAAAATAAAATAAATAAAAAAAATCTTATCATTTGTGACAACGTGGATGAACCTGGAGGATGTCATGCTAGGTAAAATAAGCCAGACACAGAAAGACAAACCCTGCATGATCTCACTTATAAATGGAATCTTAAAAAGTTGAAGCTGAGGGTAGCATGGTGGTTGCCAGAGACGGGGGGAATGGGAGAAATGTGGAGATGCTGGTCAAAGGGTACAAGCTTTCAGTCAGGATGAATAAGTTCTGCGGATCTAATGCGGAATGGTGACTATGGTTAGCAACACTGTATTATATACTTCAAATTTTCTAAGAGAAGAAATCCTTAGTGTTCTCACCACAAAAAAAGAGATGACTATGTAAGGTGATGGATATGTTAATTAGCTTGACTGTGGTAATTATTTCACATTATTTGCCTATATCAAAACATTATGATGCACACCTTAAATACATACAATTTTATTTGTCAATAAAACCTCATTAAAGCTGGAAAAAATTTAATTAAAAAAATTTTTCACTGAGTATACAGAACTAGATTAACAGTTGTTTTTTGCCAGCACTTTCAAAATATATTTCTACTGTCTTTAGGCTCTGTTGCTACTCTTAGTCAAATGATTTCTTTCTTTTTGTTTATTTTTTTTACTTCAGTTACATATTTCATTTCTAGGTGTTCTATTTGGCACTTTTTCAACATTCTGGTCATTTTTATTTCCTCTTTAACCTTAGTCATGCTCTTATTGCCATCTTTTAATTCCTTTCCCTTTATTTTATTTCCTAAGCATTTTAATTTTATGTTTTGCATGCAATAATTCTAATATTTGAAGTCCGTGGATCTCTGCTATTCCTTTTGACTTTTCTTACTTTCTTAAATTGCGTGTGAGTTTTTTTTTCTTGTGAGCGCTTACATTTAATGGAGGCTTATCTTTTAAAAAATGTTTTTCTAATTGCTACTGAGAGAAGGAAAGAGAGAGGGAAAGGAACATTGATGTGAGAGAGAAATATCAATTGGCTGCCTCCCATACGCACCCTGACCAGGGATCAAACCCTCAACCTGGGTATGTGCCCTGACCAGGAATCAAACCTGCTATCTTTTGGTGCACGGAATGACACTCCAACCAACTGAGCCACCCGGTCAAGGATTTGGAAGCTTATATCTTTAATGGCACTTTATCTGTGGAATTTCTTGGAATCCTGTGTTTAGGGAGCATTTTCAAAATCAGTTTGTTTTACATATTTCCCTAACAACTCAGACTATTTTAATTTTTTTTTTTTATCCTCACCCAAGGACATTTTTTCATTTTTTGTTCAGATAGAGTGGGGAGGGAGAGAGAGAGAGAGAGAGAAATATCGACGTGAAAGGGACACATCGAGTGGCTGCCACCCGCATGACCCAACCAGGGCCGGGGACAAACTGTAACCGAGGTACGTGCCCTTAGCAGGAACCGAACCCGGGTCTCTCTGGACCACAGGCCGATGCTCTACCGCTGAGCCAAACCGGCCAGGGCCAACTCAGACTATTTTGAAGTGAATTTCTAGCTTCAGGTTTCTCAGACCCCACACATGTGCTCATTCCTGCTCCACTATCGCACTAGGAAACTAGCTTGTAGTTGCGAATTCTTAAAGAGGTCTTTTGTCCCCACTCTATTGAGAGGATAAATAAAATATGGACTATATACACAATAGGACATCATTCAGCCTTTAAAAGGAAGGAAATTCTATACACGCTACAACCTGGATGAACCTTGGGGACATTATGCTAGGTAAACTAAACCAGTCACAAAAACCTTCTATGATATCTTTTTTTAAAAAATAATATTCCACATCTATGAGGTTCCTAGAGCAGTCAGATTCATAGACAGAAAATAGAATGGTGGTTCCCAGGGGCTGAGGAGAGGGAACTGGGGGGTTAGTGTTTAATGGGTACAGAGTACAGTTTTGCGAGATGAAGAGAGTTCCAGAGCTGGATGGTGGTGATGACTACACAACAGTGTGAATGTACTTAATGCCACTGAACTGTGTACTTAAGAATAGTCAGGATGG